ACCTATCCCCAATCCACATTCACTCCTAAATGCCCACTCCATACACCCATTCATTTTTCACTCACCCATCCTGAACACATCTAGCTATTCAGTCCTCATACACTTCACACCTCTACACTTCATACTGATTCCTTCCATACTCAACCCATCACTCCCAGGAGAAGTTCAGAAGTTGTATCCTCCACGCCAACTACTAAGCTACAACAGAGGAGGGACAGCACACAATAAGCCCTATCATTTATAGGCAAAGTCAAGGTTTCCATGGGTTCAGTAGAGGTCCTATCTGGGCACTGTCCTAAAGGAACAGTGTGGGGTCAGGGACAAAAAATAGCACTGGTGGCATCTGGGACATATGGTGAGCAGAAGAACACGATGGCACACATGCGTGGAATTCAGAGGCACATGAGAGGCAGGGGGCATCTGGTTAGTGGGATGTGAGGCACAGGGCACATGGGGAGCTGAAGAGGTGGCAGGGAACTGCTGCTTCCCAGCCAGCTCTGAGATCAAAGGCCTGAGCGCTATACCAGCTCTCACCCATTGTTTATACACCTGGGAAGCAGGAGCTGGAGTTCTACCTGCTACGGAGAGTGCAGAATCAGAATGTCCATCAGGCTGTGTAGCAGCTCTGATTGGCTTTCTTTCCCCAGGAGGTGGGGAAGTGGCAAAAGAGGATTTGAAGCCAAGAAATGGTGGCTATAGAACCTATAGAAATGTTGGAAAGCCCTGATCTATAGGGGAAACCCATAGAGTTGACAGGTATGAAATTATGCCCTCCGTTGCACCTGTGCATCCCATTGCCTTCATATTATGCCCTCAATTACACTTGCGAAACCTTATTGCCTTTAAATTGTACTCTTGGTAATATCAGTGTAACCCCATACCATTCCAAGCACTACACCATTAGAGTGACACAGGTGTACATTATTAGTAAATTTAGTCATTTCTGCTGATTAAATAGAATGAAATGACTCTCTCTTAACTATGTTGGCCCTACAGTTTAAAAAGTCACTAAAATCCACAGATATGACTCTGAGTACACACAAAGGCAGGTCTGTTCATTAAAGTGTCATTTTTACATAAGCACTTTTCCGACTACAAAGCACATCAACTGTTTCAGAGGATCATGATAGACAGAATACAACAGAATGGAAATACACTCAAAAAGCAGAATGGAATGGGGAAATTGAACACATTGTGACACATAGTACAATACCCTCTTACTTTTGTCAGTGGAAGTATGCTACAGCCAAAAAAAAAAAAAGAGAGAGAGACTGATAGGCCTTTCAGTGCTTGGAGGGACATGTCAGGTGCTGCCCATCACTTAGTATCTGAGCATATATATATGCCATGTAATTTTGCGCTACATTTTTGACCATTACTACTGGGATATCTGTAATACGGGATTTCAATAGTCAAATAATATATGGAAATGAGGCAAGTATTTTATAGAAATATATGGTATTTCCTGATGATGCAAGTTGTATAAGCATTTGGATCTTCAAGTTCCAGCTGCATATTATTTATTTATCAGATGGAGCTAATCCCTGTAACTATTCAGGTTTGTGTTATGTCTGTTAAAAAATCAGGACAGCCATGATGAGACACAAAATAATAGTAACATTGTTAAAAATACTTGTAATGCTTTTTCACCTTCAAAGCATATTCCAAATGTAAACTAACTGGTAAACCAAGGACACATAGTCAGAAACTCACTTATGGTTATAAATACAGATTAAACACTGACCATGTTTGCCAGAAACACATGAAAATCTGTCAGCCGGATCTGTATTCACAGATCCGTCACAAAACCTAGACAACTGTGTGGAATAAACTGTGTTCTGCCTTTCTAGCATGCAGAGATGACTTTGGAGTTATTTACTGTACTTATCCAATATATCCTTCCATTTAGCTTGGTTGTTATTTAGTCATTAATTTACTTTTCAAAAACAACATCACCAATAACAACTACTGTAAATAGGAATGGATTATACCATCTATGTATCAATATATACTTAGTACAAAATATTTCTGATATTCTCTGTGCTACATTGCCCTCTGTGCTACATTTCCCTCTTCATTTTTTTAAATGGTGCCTTTCACAATTTCATTTAATTAGTTTATTGATCTGTTAAACCCTGGCCACCTGTTATCCAAGTGCTAAATATTTCATTTTCTTCTTGGAGAAAGTAAAAAGATATGAGTAGAAATAATATGTTTATCTATATTTATATATATGAAGCAGCCAGTTCTCTATTAACTATAGAACTGAGGACATTTAGCTATATTAATGTTTCTTGCAAGTGTAGTTTATATTAAAAAAATGCTCTTGATTGAAATTCTGGCTTTGAATAGTGTCATGGTGTCCACTCATTACTAGAGTGCCTCCTACCGGTTGCTCTGGGGATTAGCTCTTCACACATCCAATGTTCCCTTCTGCCTGTTCCTCTCCCCATGGTCTCTCTCTCTTTCTCTGGGACTCGGGGGTTCCTTCATGACTTAGGCTTCTGGCCCGGTCACTATAGCCTGCCCCTTCTGGGGTATCAAAGTCCATCCATACAAAAATGGCAGTCTTCCTTTCACTGCCTTGGCCATGCCACTTCTCCAGTGGCTGGTAAGGGAACCCAGGCCTGCCCTCTACTCCAGGTTCCAGCCCAGGGAACCTATCTCTAGGGACAGTGGCCTGCTTACTCCCAGACCATGTTGCTCTTCTTCTGGACTCCTCCTTCCTACATCTTCCTACTTCTTAGTTCTACCTTCTGGCTCTCCCCCTCTCTGGGGTTACCAGCCCAAACTCTCTTCTCCCAGAGTAACTGCAGACTATTTCCCTTGCAGCCCCTTTCTGTTGCCAGTTTCCTGGCTTTATCCTAGCCCCACCTGTTACTTCTCAAGCTGGGCTCTGTCATCATTCAGGGAATTACTTAGGCCACATAATTCCCCTTCCTCATTAACCCCTCCCAGGCTAGTGTGGGGTGAACACCCCATCACAGGTAGATACACATGAATGCTGCTGCATAGCACATATACCACGGATATTTGCACAAAACTACACCCCATTTTCATTATCTTAATGAGAGATACACTAGATGTATACATCTGACCTAATGTACAGTGCCATAACATAGCAATACTTTTTTGTGGAAGCTGCTTTTAACTCATCAAAGGCATTTTTAGTATTACTCTGCTTGTTGGTGCTATTCATATGTAATAAATAATAATACATTATTACATTTAACACTTTGCATTTACACAGTACCAAAGACCTCAAACCCATTTAACGGGGGCATTGAGAAGTTAAGTGACTTGCACAAGGCTATACAGGAAGTCTCTAGAGAGCAGAGCTCTCTCTTTTCTTGACTCACAGTTCTCTGCCTCAAACACAAAACCATCTATCTTCTCCTTTAGAGACCAAGTATGTGTAATGCTGCCCTCTAATGTCAGTCATGATAGAGTATGTAACGCTCTATCAGCTAGCCTAGATAGGTTATAAAGTCAAACCATACAGAATTTGGCCTGTGATAGTATTACACCTGGTGGAAATGTTCCTTTAGCTCAGTTGGCTAATGACTGAGACTATGTTTTTGGAATGGGAGATCCTAGGTTAAACCCTCAAAGTTGCTTTTGGGTGATGTAAATCATGACTGGCGTGTATACGTGTGTGCAACTACTGAATCAAGGCACATCTATGATCTGTCATTCAGAACTGCGTGCTTAGTTTCAATTTTGTCTTCATCTTCTGAAAAAATATCTGCATGCTAATTTATGAGATCATTGTGTAACATCTTCTGCACATCATTCTGTTAAATATATAATTTAAGAATACAATAGTAGCAATACTTTACACTTTTACAGAGCTTTTCATTCAGTGAGCTCAAAGACTTTGTACTGCACTACCATTGTACTGTAAACATAATGAAGTTGATAAGAACAAAAAATTCTTATATGATGGTCACTTGTACTCTTCAGTTTTTAAAATTCTGTATAGAATTTAGTCATTTAGCTGTTCAACTATTATTAAAGTCAATGGAAGTCACTTAGCTAAAATGCCATGCACTGTGGGCTTTCAATGTGGGCTTTTCACCATGGGCTTTAAAGTGCTAACACAAACTTTTGAGAGATTACTTTACTATGGTCATTAAACCTTTTGCAGTTTTGCAAAGCTATATATATTTAGTTTGTTAGCAAACTCTTCACTTAAAGAATGACAGTAAAAATGGTAAAGTAAAACATAGTTTAATTCCTTTTTAAATATGCGTTTGAATTCAGTACAAATCTGTAAGGCATTCTCAAAGTCAAAAGCAACCAACATTCTCTTCAGCTTACAACGATCCATGAGACAACTATGTGTGCATAAAAATATAACCTAATCTATACTTTATAAAAAATGAAAATTTAGATACTCTGTTTTTGAACCTGTTGCAATGTAATGCCTTTTTTGCATGATGACACTACCTCAGAGTAAATATTGGCACTGTCAATGATTTTTTGTTCGGGCAAGGGGTTGTAGTGTCTTCATATCCCAGTAAAAATAAACTCTTTAATAAATAAATATATAAAATAAATATATGTCATCTGGAAATGTATAAATAGGTCCATCCTGAAGAAAAGTTCCAGCTCTGACTGAAATGCATTGACTTCCAAGGTCCGTCACTTGTAGTATAGCCATTATAACTTCAGATATAGTTCTCAGGCTTTATTGCTGTTTTACAGCCTATTCCTTACCATTTCATTCAACTTTCTGACTATTGTCCCACTCCACATGATTTAGGTAGTTATTTTTTCTCTAGTTTATGAATAATAAGTAATCCAGACAAGTTAGGCACGAGTTTGGTATTTTAAAAATAAATCAGACTCCAACCTCCCGCTCTCTACTGGCCAGCAACAGGGTCAGCAAACTTCAAAGAGGCTTGTCCACTCTTAACTTTAAGGCTTTGTCTCCTATATCCAAACATTAGGAAATAGAGGCTATCACTAAACAGCTTGTTAAAATCCACTCTCCTAGAGCCTGGTAACTCTGCAGTATTTGAAAGTTCTTCCTGCTTGTGTTACCATGGAAGCTGTGGTAGGAAAGAATGGGTTTTGTTTTGGTTTCCTTTCAAACACTCTGTCCCATTTCAACTGTATCCTAACACATCTTTGTAGAGTTCTGGGACTCTTTCAGGATCCACTGGCCTGGGTAGGAAGTGTGTGAATTTCTGATGTCTTTTGGATCTAGCCCCATCTCTGGGAGTACCATCTTTGTTAAGTGCTACGAAATACCGCCGACCCGAGTCTCCATGTTTGTACACGTTGGAAGAATAAGTGTTATACCAGTTCTCTTCAAACTGTTCTCTGAAGATGCATTCAGAAGTTAGTTTCTCCTATTTTAAAAAAAGATAGAAAAATAAAAGGTCAGAGCTCTTTCAGTAACCAATTTCTGAACATATTCCTATAAAGAGATACAGTGATAACTAAAATGGATTGGAGTATATGTTGACTTATTGTTAATTTCTTTGCTAATAAAATCAAACCTGGGAAGAGGGTAAATCTGATCATACCTGTGGCATGTGAACTGTTTTAGAGCAGTTGGGAAAGTTATTTGTTCACAAGGCTCCCTTTTATCAGTACCAGACCTGCACCACTTTGTGTACAATTTTGGATTTAAATCCCATTTTGCTGACTTTCTCTAGGATTGAAGAGGGTGTTACGCATGCAAGAGTCAACTAAAACACCCATCTCCAGCATCTTATCTGACACCCTCAAAATGAGATTTGAATATGTACATACAGGCAGAGAAAATATAACACTTGACAATATGTGTTTAAGTGTTCCTGTTCTTAAATGGTCAAGAAAATACAGATTGTTACCTTAAAAAATGTATTTGACTACTGAACATATCCAACATAGAATGGCTTAGACCTCCCTTATGCTGGAGGGAATGTGGTCACTGCTGTCCTTATACACATATGAGCCTTCTGGGTAAAGATGTAATGTAACAGATGAGAAAGGCAATCCCTTTGGAACTGGAAAAGCAACTGCTGTGGCTGTACCTAGTGTTTGTGACTTATATTCCCCAACTTTTAAAATAACTAGGATCACTACAAGGACTTTGGTGACCACATTAATCTTGTTTGGAGAAACATAATTACTCATTGCTGGAAGACGGACTACCATCATCACATTTTGTAAACAAAAGGGACTCAGTGTGTATGGTTCATTATTATGATGGATAAGGTAAAGCTTGCATCAAGACGGAAGAATCAGAAACATATTACCATCTGTCACCATTTCATACTCATTCAGACCAACAAATGCCTCCCCCTCTCAACCTTCAATCCTAAAAAATGTTGAGGCCTAAAACACTAAAGGATGTCATTGATTGACAAGGTAAGCCACAAACAATGACGATGTACATACTGTTTCCTTTTGGTTTATAAAATGCCCAGAGTTCACAATCTATTGTAAAAAATGATTATATTCAGCCATCATCTATGGAAAGGGTATAAACCAATCCGTGATAGGAATAGAAGTTGTAGACTTGAAACTCCTGTCAAAGGTGTATGTTTTATTACTGCAGAACATTTGAGTGGGAGGGGAGGACAGAGAGTATTTTATCTTTCAAGGTTTGAAAACTGAAATGGAGAAGAATCTGAGTCCATGTTAGCCTGATACTGCTGTAGAACCAAAGACTATAGTTTGTAGTGTCTTATGCTGAAATTTCTCAACAAAAAACAATCATTTGAAACAATTACAAGCTTATTTTCAGTCTTAACAGTTTAATTTTAAATCAGAGTATGGATTAAATGATATTGCCTCATTTATACTCCTCACATTTTCAAAATAACAGTGGTACATGACTAAGCTGTTTAAGTTTAATGGTCTTCGTTCAGATGTTGAAAAAAAGCAGGTGCTCCAAAGTGCCACCTGCTGAATTATAAGGGATCAGCAGACCACAAATCAAGTAATCCAGGGTTTTGTATTTATTTATGTATTTTTCTGTAGAATTATCTTTTTCCTCTGTTTTCCATATCAGTATTTTTTATGGTGAAAAATGCAGTGAGCCTGATAGATTTGGAGGGTAGATCTTAAAAAGAAAATCAGTCACTAAGTAACTATATTAAGTATTAAGACTTTCTTAAACTGGCTACTTTCATTCATTCATTCATTCATTCATACATTGTTCTCTTTCTTTTGTCTTTGTTAAGGAGGAGCATTTCTGATCCATTCTCTTTTTCTCAGGCTAATTAAATTCTTTCCATGTGCATGATATTTGACTCAGACTGTAAAGATTTGAGCTATCATCACCACACATTCTCAGGATGATTGAATGACACAAATGATATACATTATTTTAACAGGAAAGAAAGTTAGCATATTCCATTATTTCAGTGGTTGGCTGAGTTTTTTGCCCGCTATTAACAATTGATTCAGTATGTCAGGTCTAAAATCCAAATGTGGCTTAGAAAATATAAGCTAATACTTACAGATCCATAGAGTTCTCCTTTGTCATTCATTCCAAGGTAAAGGCCACTGTCCACTCCTCTAATACTGACCAGTCCCACTGCCACACTGATGAATTCAAGGATACCTAAATGTACAAGGGTAGGGCTGCTTTAACTCACATGTGTTAAAGTCAAGAAATATATATATAATATATTTAGAAGCAGGTGAAATAATTTATTTGTCCGTACTATAGCAAATGTGGCCTACATACATATATAAGAATACTCCTATTTTACATGTCTACCACTGAACTAATTTCATACACATTTTAGTTCAAAGCAGACTAGAAGCCTCCACAAGGAAAAAGAATTATTTGCTTTTTTCAGAAACATTTGTTATGACTTAGTTAAGAAAGGATTTTATCTGTCACTGATGGGTTAAAACTATTCATTTAGGATTCAGGGCTATACAATTTCAGTAGATGATTATACAGTATTTGATGAAGTGTCTTTTCATACATTGGAGGGTAAGATTGAACTATCCAGAGATATATTTCACCTTCTCTGTAGCACTATCTTAAGAAACCAACACTTTTAATTATATCTAATGGGTGGAAGTCAAAATAATGATATCATGTGAATACAAGTCAAAATACAGATGGGAATTGTATACCAGAGAGTCTTCCCATAGAGAAGAAAAACATATTTGCTGTATATCTAATCCAACATGTGGGCCCAAATCTGCAGCCCCTATTCACATGAGTAATCCCATTGATTTCAGAGGCAGGTTTTGTATATGTATACAATATGGTGCATGTATACTATGTTTAAAAAATTACAAAACTGATCATAATATGTGGAATATAACTAACACTTGATTTAGAATGTTTATTATCTAAATATGCCTAAAATATTTGTTATTCTGATTCATTATTCATCATTTGCAATGTGAAATTGGGCCCATTTTACAGTATTTAAATTATGTTATATTCTGTCTCTTTAAACTATTTCACCACTTATGTGAAAAAAGGATCCAATTTACCTGTAACCTTGCTAGTAGCCCATTCTTGCCCTAAGCACTAAGTATTTTGAGATCCAATATGTACAGATTACATTACACGTACAATACAAAAAAGACAGGAAATGTGTAAATCATATCTGTTAAAATTGCTACCAATGTAAACAGAGTCCCAAAGTGAGGTTGCTTTTGCTTCACACCTAGCACATTTCTAAAATAATAATACAAACTTATTAAACTGATGTGATAGTATGGAATAGTCTTTCCAATATTTTGGGCATGCCTTTTTGTCTCATTATGCACACTGTTTTACATTCTGACCCATTTTCCATCTTAAGAGAGATTAGTGTACTGTAATTTACAATCTTTTGAGTTTTAACTGAACTTTGGCATACCTCTTATTTACAATGCTAAATGACAAACCAGCTAAATCCTTTACAAGGAGCAAGCATTAAGAACTTTTTATTGGATGTAAATCATCACAGATTTCCCAGTTTCTAATGTCCAAGGTCCCATAAAAAGACATGGAGGTATTTTGTCTTTCTGATATCATTTTCAAAGCCATTCTTTTTATAAACCATAATAAGCAGGCCATTCAACCCACAAAGAGACCACATCAGACAAACCTGTGGAGAATAGGGTTAGAATAAAGGAAGAAGATTTGAAAGAAACACTGCAAATCTTTGATCTTGGACTAATCATTTTTTTAAAGTAACAATTTCGTGTTTACATGCTGTAGAAAGTCTCCCTTCTGTGAATAACTTTGTGTTTAACTACAAAAAGAAAAGGAGTATTTGTGTCATCTTAGAGACTAACCAATTTATTTGAGCATGAGCTTTCCTGAGCTACAGCTCACTTCATCAGATGCATACTGTGGAAAGTGTAGAAGATCTTATTATATACACACAAAAAGCATGAAAAAATACCTCCTTCCACCCCACTCTCCTGCTGGTAATAGTGGGAGGAGGTATTTTTTCACGCTTTTTGTGTGTATATAATAAGATCTTCTACACTTTCCACAGTATGCATCCAATGAAGTGAGCTGTAGCTCACGAAAGCTCATGCTCAAATAAATTGGTTAGTCTCTAAGGTGCCACAAGTACTCCTTTTCTTTTTGCGAATACAGACTAACACGGCTGTTACTCTGAAACCTGTTTAACTACAGTTCTTTTAGTTCTGAAAACACCAGTACTTCAATGTGTTATAAAATCAGTTAAGGGCCATTCCAGCTGATTGTTTTGACTATGGGAGAGATGATAGAAAACTCTTTAATCACCTTTTTGTGCCTGTTAAATCAATACAAAAAAAAACCTCACTGATGGTCAACAATAGCAGGTTTGTTCAGATAACGCTGCAGTGCCTACATACATTCCTTCTTATTTACCCTTACATGTCAGAAAACCATTTACATCCTTAGGATATCCCCCCCCCCTTTTTTTGGTTTATGGACAAACCATTTTAAAAAGAAATAAAAGAAACATTACTGTTGTGATTACATTACAGTTGTAGTTCTGTGCAATCCCACGTGCAGCTTTCTCCGCATTGCAAAACAAAGCAGATTAGAGGTTTAGCAAGATTAACGATTCCATGATCTTTGTTTGTTTAGAAAGAGATTTAGAGATTTTGAGATTGCAGAGGCAAGTCCGGGACATTAAATTTTAGGTACTGAATAGAAAAAACATCACCGTGATAGAACCTCTCTTTCTGAGTTTGCTGCTACATACAAATGCAGGTGTAGAGTTTACATACATATACTAATGAATATGTGTATGTACATATAAACCGACATACTCTGGACGCTCCACACAGACATTTCTCGTTAATGAATGACATAGGAAGAGATGTTCTGTCATGCTGAGTTCTGTGTGCAGCCCCTGCAGTCTAAGGCTGGAATGCACAGCTTTATACTGGGAGTCTCGGGTTAAACACCTGCCCAGTAGTGCACTCTGATCGGACCGCTCTGCTGCTCTACTTTGCAGTAAGTATGTAAGTGTTTCTTTTCCACGAGGAATAGAAACACCTCTCTATGCGGGATGGATGAGGCTGAGATCCGAGCTCTCCGTGATTGCAGCTGCTACCTACCGAAGAGGCTGTGGTCCTGCCTGGTGCCCTGCACGGTGCCATCGGGCAGGATCTGCAGGTGGAAGCCCGTCCGGCAGTAGAGCTGCCTCCGGCGTAGGATGCCCTGTAAATGGGATAAATCCGCAGTCCCAGTCGCCGCACCTCCTCCACCTCTGGACCCCCTCTCGGCCTGAGCCAGGCGATCGCTGAGCAGAGCCGGCTGCTCCCCGGCAGGAGGCAGCAGGAAATGGGAGCCCACCTGCTGCCCTAACCCTTCCAAGCCTCCTAGGAAGCCCCCAATTTCGGCTAAGGGAGCCATGAAAGAGCCCGCTGGAAGGGAGGAGGTTTAACGAGCGATGAGTTGAAAGGTAAATTAACAATAATCAAATGAGAAGAGTGAGATCTAAACGTTCAGGCCGAGCTGTTCCTGGATGATCTCAGGCAGGGTGGACTTTGCACTGGGACAACAGCTGCCTGTCTTTGGAGCCTCTTCTGACTCCGAGAATGTGGGAGTCTGCTGCTGGCTTTGCATCAACATCTAGAGCTGCTGGTGCTGCTGTTGTGTCCTGGGAAACTGATCAGATTAGAGTTCTGTTTATATACAAAGCCCGTATATATGCTGGTCCCCCCGGACATATGCTAATGAAGCCCTCTCTTGCGCGCCGGAGAGGTTGCGTTTGAAATTTTAAACCGATCTCTCCTCTCCTCACACCTTTTTCTGATCTGCAATGACGATGGGGAGTTTCTGACGTTTCCCAGTGTGCAGAGCCATAAAAAATAATCCATAGACAGACAGAGAGAGAGAGAGAGAGAGAGAGAGAGCTGGCATCCAACTTTGCAGAGCGGTAGCATAGACACTCTCTTCCCCTTTGTTGTTGTTGTTGACGCTGCTGCTCAGCCTCCTTTGATGTGAGTGTTTCGAAAATGATAGATTGCAGCTATAAGGAGCCCGGCTTGGCAGGGACTCGAGAAGGAGGGTTGGACTCAGGAGCTGCTTGGAGCTTGCAGTGCATTACGTGGACAGGTGCAAGGAAAGGTAAGAGAGAAGAAGGATAAAGGGCGTTACCTGAGGGATAGACCTGCCCAGACACACATGAAAGAAAAAACAAAGATCTGACAGTTTTACTCCCTGATTGTAAAACACTAATAAAATGTTCATGTATTACCCTTTCCTTTTATCACTTAAGTTCCAAGGTGGGGGATTTTTAAAAGAAATTGCATAATCAGGGATGTTTTTCCCCTCTGTAAAATTCGCGTTCCTATTTAATTCATCACAAACATGATACGATATTGGTCAATGTCTGTTGGTATCGGCAGAGTGGTTTTAAACATATTAGTGAGATAGACCAGTGACTTTTGATTAATATTTTTAAATCACATGGTGAGAAAGAGGGAGGAAATGGTGTGAGAATAGTTTCACAGTACATACTCCGACAGAGAGAGATGATATATCTAATCACCACAGTATAGGAACGCCTACAATTTAACTACAGTATCGCCTTTAAAATATGTTTTAATTCTTGCATCAATAATATTAAGATCTCTTTGAAGCTGATTTAGGACTGTGCTAACTTGATGTAGCTGCATTTCTGCCTTTCAAATGAATAGTATAAAACGATAATTGATATTTTAAAACAATTATATTAAAACTATCAAGGCTTGACTTTTACACTCTATTGATTTTTTCATATTTAATAGTAATTTTTAAACACTGAAAACTATCTTAAAGTATATTCATTAGCATGCAAGTATTGCAACGTGTGCCCTCACCAGTATTAATGTATTATGGTGTAAAACCCAAAGATCTTTCATAGTTAAATCTTTCAAAGGTTTGAAAGTCACTTGGCTGGTTTAAGCTTTCATTTGAACAAAAAGTTGTAGAGAATCATGAAAGATTAGTTTTTCAATCTTGCTCCATGGGCTTTTCAGTCACAGTCTAAATCTGGGAGATCAAATAGATTTGACTGCTTGGCTTTATTTGCTGTGGAGAGTATGGGGCTAATTAATTGGCAGGTGCTTTAAAGCAAGTAATGCTACACCTTTTCATCATTGCAGTCCTAAGTACTGCCCCTGTATGCACCTGAATTATAAAAAGGGTTCTTTAAAGCAAGTGATTTACTATGGAGGGATTTAAAACCAAAAAAACTCACACTAAATACAATGATCAGATAAATCACCTCAGAAGAGAGCCCTGGCAGACCTGCTCTGAAGGTTGTTACAGATAGATGTTATATTATTTTACCTTTCAAATAACAGGAGTCTGTCATGTGGTGGGACCCAAAAATTCACCATAATTGAGATTTCAAAGCACATCTGTGTAAACATTACCACATCAGTGTAAAACATCAACCAATGAGCTTTCTCTTTGAACCAAATCTTCTTAATTGCAGTGCTAAATCAAAGAAATAGATCAAAGTTGAGTGATCTATATAGCACAGATTTCTCAAGTAGCCTGTACACTGATTTAGATACCTAAAACATTTGAAACGCACATCAAGTGTTTTTATTGATATAACAGTTATTTCAAGATCAAACTGTAATTAATTCAGTTCAGCACAAGACTGCTGGACATAGACTGAAGCACATATTAAAGGGAATATCCTACTGAGCCTAGAGATGCTCCTCTAATGAAAAGTTCCTGGGTTCCAGTATTATTTGAATATAGTAAGCAATAAGGGGCTTTTCTGGTTAGATTCCGCCTGTGATTATCTGTACCAGAGGTTTTTTCAAACATCATCAGCCCCTCAGATACTTTCTTGCTAATAAAATCATTCTTGTTTCACAATGGAGATGCATTAAGTAGAGTGAAATACAAAACATAGACTTTTTCAAACCGGAATCTTTAATGTCTGGCTGCTGAACCGGTTATGCTATTTTATAAAGTACCAGAAAAGAAGCAAAAAGATAAGGATTTTTTTCTTGTTTGCACTAGTCATGTGACAGGAAAAGATAACACTAAAGTTTTTCTGCACATTCTGTGACGATATCATGGGAAGTTAAATAATTTTGAAGAGTGTTTTTACAAGAGTACATTATTCAACTTTAAGTATACACTACAATCTAATCAACTTTACCTATACTTCCTAGAGACCGCACTTTCAATGTTGTTAAACAAACACATATGTGATCCAATTTTTATTTCTACTGCAGGTAGTTAGAGCTTCTGCAGACAATATAATTACTGTACATTTTCTAAGATTAGCATATAGTCCTGAGCAATAGTTGGTGGCTGCCTGCAGAGTGGAGAAAGGAGCTCACTGATAACTTTGATGCTTTTATACATGTATCACATGACACAGTTGGAAAAAACATATAGGCTCTAAAGATTTATATCTTCCAAATTCACTGTGCTTTAATATTTAAAAACATCCTTGCAACAATGGTGTGCCAACTCTAAAACAAAATATGTGTATTGCCTACTTGAGTTACTCCTGTACCTCAATCATTACCAAATCTTTTCTGTATCTTTACAAAAAAACACAGTATGGGCTATTTTCAATGGACAATAATAGCAGAAGATCATGCAGGTATTGAGGAGCAAGTGTTTCAGATTCCCACTGAACTTAAATAAGTCATAGATGTATGTTGGATTCACTGAGGGGGGAAAGGAGTAATTTTCCAAACTATGCCCCAAAATCAGATCCCGTCCCTTTGAGATAGGAAAATGAAACTCCACTAGCAGTAGAATGTTCCACATATGCAGATGGTCAGAAAATGAACATGCATGCTGTTATGAACTCCTTGGTCTTGGCTCTCTTTCAAGGGGGCTTGGATATCCCTTGGCGATCTGTTGGGCTCTTTGGTGGGGGTCAGATCTTTCCTTGGGTTGTGCACTGCTCTGAGTACATACAGCAACACTTTCCCTATAAGTTCTACAACAAATGAATCTGTACAAAACATATAAAATGTAACATCTGTTTCACACACAGACACACACACAAAACCATTTTTAAGACCATATTAATATATGAAATACATTGAGCGGGTGTATATATGAACTTTGGGAGAATACTAAGGGCGATATTTGAAATATGGGTAACCATTCTGGAAAGCAATGACAAAAAAAGAAGACTTAAGGATCATGGTGCACACAAGCTCACAGTTGGATGGACTGGCTAAGAGGGTGAATGTGATTCTTAGATACATAAGGAAGGGAATATTGAGTAGAAGTAGGTAGGTATTATTATCACTGCATGTGGCAATAGCTAAACTATGACTGTTACCAGGTCTGGTGTCTACATTTTAAATAGGACGTTGACAAACTGAAAAAGGGGTTCAGAAGAGAGCTTCAAGAATAACTTGAGGTGCAGAAAACCTGCCTTAGAGTGACAGACTAAAAACTCAATCTATTTAATTTATTCAAGAGAACATTAAGAGATGACCTCATCACGGTCTACAAGTACCTACATGAAGAGCAGCTTTCTGATAATAGTGGGCTCTTTAATTTAGCAGACCAAGGCATGACAAGACCCAGTGGCTAGAAGCGCAAACCAGACACAGACTAGCAATTTCAAGCAATTTTTTTAAACAGTGAGAGTAATTAACCACTGGGACAACTTTATCTATAGATGTGGTGGATTCTCCATCACCTTAAGACTTTAAATCAAGATTGCATTTCTAAATGCTCTAACTCAATCAGAAGCTATACTTTTGATGCAGGAATCACTTAGTGAAAGTCTATGGTTTGTGTTATGCAGAAGTTTAGACTTGTTAATCATAATGGTGCCTTCCATCCTTAAAATCTACAATTCTACAAAATCTAAACAAAATCAGTATGTTGACTAGAGTTGGCTGGAAAATGGGTGGGCAGGTGGCAGGTTTCCACAGAAAAAAATTACAAAAAACGGAGAAAAACGGTTTTCATTGAATTTTTCTGCAGAAATGTATCAGGTGAAAAATTAAAAACCAAAATAGTTCATCATAAAAACTAAATATTTTGGCCAAAATTCAAAATATTTATTTAGTTTTTCTGATTAAATATTTGGCAAAAATATTTTGGCCATAAAACACAATACAGTGGAACCTCAGAGTTATGAACACCTCAGGATGGAGGTTGTTCATAACTCTGAAATGTTTGTAACTCTGAACAAAACATTATAGTTGTTCTTTCAAAAGTTTATAACTGAGCATTGACTTAATACACCTTTGAAACTATTATGCAGAAGAAAAATGCTGCTTTTAGCCATCTTAATTTAAATGAAACAAGCACAGAAATAGTTTCCTTACCTTGTCAAATCTTTTTTTTAAGCTTTCCCTTTATTTTTAGTAGTTTACATTTAACAGTACTGTGTTGTACAGTATTTGCTGGTTTTTTTGTTTGGTTCTTTGTTTG